GCATCACGCCGTCCTACGTGGCGTTCACGCCCGAGGGGGAGCGCTTGATCGGGGACGCTGCCAAGAACCAGCTGACATCCAACCCCGAGAACACCGTGTTTGATGCCAAGCGGCTCATCGGCCGCACCTGGAACGACCCTTCTGTGCAGCAGGACATCAAGTACCTGCCCTTCAAGGTGCGTCCCCAACGCGGCGGGACGGATGGCAGGAGGGGGCCGATGTGTTGGGGCTGGGGAGGGGGCTGCAGATGCTGCCTGCCTTCCTTTTGTCTGAGAGGCGAGGCTGCTGAATCATGGCACCCTTTGGGGGCACCCTGCTGTTCCCCAGCCCTCCCGAGAGGGTCAGGGTGCTATGGTGTGTACAGACAACGGTTCTTGTGTTATCCAGCATTCAGATGTCTGTTATAGTGGCTTTGCTTAATCTTCAGAGAAAGAAACACTGGGATAAGTGGGGATAATTCTGTGAACTGTTGGAATAACCCAATATAAATTGTTCTTTGCAGGTAATTGAAAAGAAAGCCAAGCCCCATATTCAAGTTGATGTTGGAGGTGGACAGACAAAAACATTTGCTCCTGAAGAAATTTCTGCAATGGTCCTGACAAAGATGAAGGAAACTGCAGAGGCTTATTTGGGGAAGAAGGTAAGTTCATGACATGAGTGCTACTCGTAAGAACTTAAAGCAGCAGCTTTACAAAACTAAATGGGGCTGAATTTCAGACTAACCTTGCAGCCCTGAACTGTTCAGTGCTGCTGGCCCCTTGGGCAGCTCAGCTGGTGGTGGGTTTTTACCCCTTGAGAGAACAACAGGAAACTGGTTACCAGCATTGCTGTGGTTGTTTACAAGCCTGTGCTCTCAGTGCTGTAACAGAGCTGTGCTTCCTGCCCCTGTTCAGGTGACCCACGCCGTCGTTACCGTGCCAGCCTACTTCAACGACGCTCAGCGCCAGGCCACCAAGGACGCTGGTACTATTGCTGGGTTGAACGTGATGAGAATCATCAACGAGCCGTGAGTAGCCTGACCCCTCCTGCCTGCCAGGGGGTGGGTGGGGGTGCTGGTCCCAGTGTTCTGACCAGGCTGTTCCCCGTGCAGAACGGCTGCTGCCATCGCTTACGGGCTGGACAAGAGAGAGGGCGAGAAGAACATCCTTGTGTTTGACTTGGGTGGTGGAACGTTTGATGTCTCCCTCCTCACCATTGACAATGGAGTCTTTGAAGTTGTGGCTACTAATGGTGACACTCACCTGGGTGGAGAAGACTTTGACCAACGTGTTATGGAACACTTCATCAAACTCTACAAGAAGAAAACTGGAAAAGATGTCAGGAAGGATAACAGAGCTGTGCAGAAGTTAAGACGCGAAGTGGAGAAAGCAAAGCGAGCCTTGTCATCTCAGCACCAGGCTAGAATCGAAATAGAATCCTTCTTTGAAGGAGAGGACTTCTCAGAAACACTTACTCGAGCCAAGTTTGAGGAGCTGAACATGGTAAGTTTAGAAAGGCAGAGTTAGGTTGCCTCAGCTCTAGGCTGGGGACTGGTCAGGGTGCAGCATGTAATGCTGTGACACTGCACTCTGGAGTATAAATAACCCCCTGCCCGCACTGAAAGGGGCAGCTGCTCCTTGCCAGGGTGGCTGGGCCATGTGTGTTAACGACAGCTGAGGTCTCGCTGGGGCTGGTCAATAAACCAGCTGATGTTCCTCCTGCAGGGCTTGTCCTTTGTCCCCTAACGCTGCATGACTTGGAGGCTGGGCACGTGGGGATACAGTGTTACAGTCCTGGCTTTTATCCTCCTAGGACCTGTTCCGTTCCACCATGAAGCCTGTTCAGAAAGTCCTGGAAGATTCTGACCTGAAGAAGTCTGATATCGATGAGATTGTTCTTGTTGGTGGTTCTACTCGCATCCCCAAAATACAGCAGCTAGTCAAAGAGTTCTTCAATGGGAAGGAGCCTTCTCGTGGCATTAACCCAGACGAGGCTGTGGCCTACGGCGCGGCTGTCCAGGCTGGCGTCCTCTCTGGGGACCAGGATACAGGTACTGACCCCTTCCCTGCCACTTGACATGAGTTATTGGCAAATGTAGTGGCAGTTCTTCTCCAGCTGCTGAGTTCTGAGGCCTCAGGATCCCGTTGGCAGTGATGAGATGTCGTCTCTTTCAGGTTGAAGTCATGTCAGTCTTGCCCTTGATGTGTTACAGGTGATTTGGTGTTGCTGGATGTCTGTCCCCTGACACTTGGCATTGAGACTGTCGGAGGTGTCATGACAAAGCTGATCCCAAGAAACACCGTTGTTCCCACCAAGAAGTCTCAGATCTTCTCCACAGCTTCTGACAATCAGCCAACTGTGACAATCAAGGTCTATGAAGGTAAGTGGTGCCCGGGGCAGCTGGAACCTCTAGACTTTCATATTTGCTACTGTCCAGCCACAAACACAAAGGCTGGAGGAGATTCTAGATGCTTATGGATAGAGCATCTAGAGAAGATGGAGAAGAGCTTGGTAACAGTGCCAGCTCTCTGCAGCTGCTCTGATCAGGCTGCTTGACCTGCATCAGAAGCTGTTACTAATGTTTTTTCCCCAAATGTTTCTTTTCTGTGGCTCTGCTCTTACGAGGTGATACTGTAGGAGGTGTCCAGACAGATACCTGTCAGGTTGAAATGAAGACCTTACCTCTGAAAATGAAGCTTGCAGCTTCACAAAGTACCAACCACAGCTAGGAAAGGAAAAATAAAGTTATCTAATTGTGTCTTCCAGGCGAGCGTCCCCTCACCAAGGACAACCATCTCCTGGGAACGTTTGACCTCACTGGCATCCCTCCCGCCCCTCGGGGCGTCCCCCAGATTGAGGTTACCTTTGAAATAGATGTGAACGGAATCCTCCGGGTCACGGCGGAAGACAAGGGCACGGGGAACAAAAACAAGATCACAATTACAAACGACCAGAATCGGCTGACGCCGGAGGAGATCGAGAGGATGGTTAACGACGCCGAGAAGTTTGCTGAGGAAGACAAGAAGCTCAAGGAACGCATTGATGCCCGCAACGAGCTGGAGAGCTACGCCTACTCCCTGAAGAACCAGATCGGGGACAAAGAGAAGCTGGGGGGTAAGCTGTCCTCTGAGGACAAAGAAACGATAGAGAAAGCGGTGGAGGAGAAGATCGAGTGGCTGGAGAGCCACCAGGACGCAGACATCGAAGACTTCAAAGCGAAAAAGAAGGAGCTGGAGGAAGTGGTTCAGCCCATTGTCAGCAAGCTGTACGGCAGCGCGGGCCCGCCCCCGGGCGAGGAGGAGGCGGCTGACAAGGACGAGTTGTAGATGCTGGCGGCGCAGGATGCTGTGTGTGTGTGTGTATATATTGGACTCAGGAACACTTGTTTAAAATATTGAACTCTTAATTTGGAATGTAACTTTGAATCTTCACTCGTGAGTGGAGCTGGAACCGCTGGCCCAACGTGGCTCTATACTGCTTTTGGTTAGCAGTTGCTCGATGTCGGGGAGGGGAGGGAGCGGGGGGGAGTGTCAGTGCACAGGGGGTAGAAGTGGTGGCAGTGGAAACGTTCTATTTAACACCTGGGTCATGGCAGTTAGTGTAGAATTTTCTACCTGAAGTGACCACAATAAATTTGTTATTTACACTGGGCTCTGCTCTCCCTCGTGCTTTGTTACCTCGCCACAGCAGCTTGTTCCTGCCTCGAGGAGGGGACTGGGCTCAGCGAGGGGTGTTGTGCACCCTCGAGGTCAGCGTCTGGGGGAGCTCCAGCAGCTTGCACCCCAGTTCTGCCTCTGGGCTGCTGGGGCTGGCCAGCCTTGCTGAGCTGAGGGAACCTGAGGTTCTACCTCTCTCTGGTCTGTGGGTAAAAGACTCCAGTTGGAGTTAGAATGATTTTAATACTGCACAAAATTAGCCTAGGAGCTTTAACATTACTTTCACATCAGACAATGGGCCACTTTTCAGAAGACTAATCTAATTACACTTGCTTTAAACATTTTTTAAAAAGCCTTTTTATTTAACCATGATCCTTGGCCAATCCCTGGGATTACACAGGAAACTGAACCGAGTACAGAAGGAGCTTTGGTAGCACCTCCTCCAACCCACTCGCCACTCTGCATTTCTCCTGCTCTCGGGGATTATTTTTTCTGGTTTCCATTCACTCGCTTTTCAAAACAGTGAGACCTAAAACCCAAATCATCCTCCCAAAACACCCAAATCATCCTCTCAAAACTCCCCTTTGCTGCCAGCTCCCACTGTGGCTTTGCAGACAGGAGTGGTTCTGGAGTGAACAGCAACCAGGGTTGGAAAGAATTCACTTAATCTGAGAGCTCCTAAAACCACCCCGGAGAGCCGTGCAGGGCCGGGCTGCAGCCGTGCTACTGGATCAGGCTGACAACACAGTCCCTGTACATCTCCCCCTGCGTGTCCATCCCACCACATACCAACAGCAGATGCACGACTGTGTCTTCAGCACCCCCCTCCTCCTCCTCTGGGCTCTGCTGGACCAGGGCAGCTCTGTCCCCAGCTCCCGTGTCTCTGCTCTTTCCAGCGCGCCAGGGAATGACGCACATGGCGTGGTCCAGTCTCCCAGCGGGCAGAGGGGAATCGAAGGGCAGGAGCGTCCACTGCTGCCTCTCTGCAGTGCAAAGACACACGTTCCTGCCTTTAGCTGCAGCTCCCCAGTGCTGGGACAGTCACATCGTTAATTAAACTCGTTTGCAACGTTACAGAGCGTTCAGTCTTGTACTGGTGTAACTCCAGTACGCCACCACTGAGGGAAGCACTGGCTACCAGGGGGATGAAGCCCAGGAACCCAGGGGGGGTAACAGGTTTTCCACAGACCAGCATTTACCAGCAGCCAGCAGAGAGAAGCCTCCCTACCTGTGTGATACCTGTACGCAGTATCCAGGGCCCCCCCTGGACCTATCCCACCAAAAATGTACAGGTGCTCTTTGAACACAGCTGCTGCGTGGGATGCCCGTCCTCCCGGGATGTCACCAGTGGCTGCCACCTTCACCCATCTCATGTCATCTGTTGGGAGAAAAACAACACAGCTGTGGTTATGTATGAGAAAAAACCCACACTTTTTGTGATTTTAATCAAACAGGGCAATATTTTAAGGACTTAAGACTGATCCTTTAGAAAAAAGGTCCCCCCAAAATCAAAACACATCACATGACAGCTGTTGCTCTGCGGTTCCTACACCCACACTTACTCGTATCGATGTAGAACAGATCATCGTAAAAAATATCCCCAGCTAAACCTCCATGGATGAAGAGTTTGGTCCCAGCCGCTACCACAGCGTGTCCGTGCCGAGGAGAGGGGGGATCACCGTGAGTATCTGGCTGGGACCAGGTCAAGGTGGCTAAAAAATGGGAATAACGTGAATCAGGAAGAAAACGCGAAGCTCTACAAAGCAGCGAGCCCAGAGCCCAGCTGGGGCTTCCCAAGGAAGCGCCTCCAGCGGGGCCAGAGGAGTTGATGCCACACCACAAAGCGCAGGCAGGGCCTCCTGTGGAGCTCTGTGTGCTGTCTGGGTCACCCAGCAGCAGGGCAGATCAACTCACCCTGGAAAGCAAACCCTTTGTGGTGCACAGAGCCCATGAGAACCAACGGGACAGCTCTGGCAGGACCCGAGCAGCTCAGGGTGACGCCACCATGGAAAGGAACGAGCTGCTGGGCAAACGTGACAAACCATTCCCATCCCCCACGGCGTTTCTCATCCCAGAGCTGCCGTTTGGGCCCAGATTCCCAGGGATCACACAAAGGGAAGTGCCCGTCAGCAGCAAGGACCATCCACCCGTCCGCTGAGACTCGCAGCCAAAGCACAGACCCACCCAGCATTTCCCATCTTGGGTTGAATCTGAAAGGTGGCGCTGCCATCCCGGAGAGGCCCTTGGGAGAACAGCCCTTCACCTCCCGAGGTACCTGTGTCAAACACGTGGAGCTGCTGGTCCTGAACCGGCTCTGCTCCCTTATCCCCCCCTCCAAACACGTACAGACGGTCTCCCAGGGCTGCTGAGGAGCTGTGGAACGTCCGAGGCTGGGGCTGAACACCGCTCACTGCAGGACTCTCCCAGGTTCCTATTTCTAACGGAGATAATTGATTATCAACGTAATTAGCGAGGTGACAGAACACGCTCCGCTCCCCGGCCAAGGAGCCTGACGCGGCTTTGCCGGTCCCACACCTCCCGCAGCCCCGAACCGCGGGGCCGGCTCCAGGCCCCGCTCCCCGGGGCACAGAGACCCAATTTCGCGGGGAGCCCTCGGGGCCCGGTCCGCCGGGTCCTCGGGCACTCACCCAGA